GCCCAATTTTTGTAAATAAAAGTAAAAAAGTAAGTTTAAACATACAAGGGCTATTTATTTGGTTGTGTTTTAAATGTTGTCTTAATGTCAATGAAATGAATGCTTACAATGTCTTGTAAATTGGCATTTTATTGCCATCGGAGAAAAACTAATTTGAAAAACGCGAAAGCTGGCAAGTATTCAAGCAATTCTTTTACTTACTTTATTTACAAAAATTGGGCACCTGGGCAGCGCAGAAGGCCCATATCCCATACATCATGTAATGTAACAGAAAAATTATAATAAAAAACAGTTTGAGTTCAGCAGTCTATGGGGTGGCTGGTACTGCAAACAACTCTAGAGACTCCTAACTATTTGAAGCTGTTGCGAATTATTTTTTGGTACTGAAAGTACGAACAGATTTTTTAAAAAAATTTATTAGAATTTTAAAATTCGAATATATGACCTTAATGTATCTAACTACTTGCGTTTAGTGGTGAACAAAATTCTTTTAAACATAATTTATTAAAATATTATTACGTTGCTTTCTCTTCCAAAAGGAAATATATTTTCTAAAACTACGGAGAATCCGTAGTAGTTGAATAGTCTCTGGAATTCCGTAGGCTGGTGAGCGCAGCGCGGAGTGGGATTTTATAACACTTTATTATTATATTAAGCTTGCTGTTACACATTTTGAGTCCCATTGCTTGCTGATTATTTTTTGCTCAAAATTTTATGTTTAAGCATTCTCAGAGTGTTTAGTATGATCTCATTGTTCTTATTTAATTTCAGGCAAAACTTTTGATATTACCTATGTTCGTCTAAAATTTTATACAAGTCGTCCAGAAAGTTTTGGTATTTATAAAAGAACTATACCCGATGGTGATTGGGTGCCGTATCAGTTTTACAGTGCCACGTGTCAAAGTACTTATGGGTTGAACGACACGTCATATGTTACGTACAGCGATGAAACTAGAGCCCTTTGCACGTCTGAATTTAGTGATATTTCTCCTTTAACCGGTGGCAACGTTGCATTCAGTACTTTGGAAGGTCGTCCATCTGCTTACAATTTCGAAAACAGTCCAGTTTTACAGGTATGTTACTTTTGTTTTTTTAAGTGCCATTTGATATTTTATTTAGCACTGCAGGAATAACAAAAATTATACATTAATTTTGATTGCTATTTAGAAACATCAATTATATTTTATTTTATTCTTTATATACTACTCAGGGGTCTGTTTAGAAGAAATTTGGGTCCGTTAACGGACCCTTCACAAAATTTCTTATCATAAAAACGGACCTTTCACAAAATATTTTAACTTAAAAACGGACCCTTCACAAAATAATTTATCTTTTAATCGGACCCTTCACAAAATTGTTTATCTTCGTTATTGTTTTGTTAGGTAATCGAAAAAAAAAAACCTTCACAGGGAAAAAAAAAGAAAGACGGAAATAAACGAACTAAGTTTTGTCTAAGTTTCGATCAGCAGTATAGGCTAAATACCAAATATTTGTATGTTGCATCTCTATAAATTTTTTTTACAGTGTTGAGCATAATCTTGTATCTATTTCCAATTTAAAAACTCTTTGAAAAAGTTTTATAATAACTGGACCCTATTTGCACAATAGTAACAGCAGGACCCTATTTGCACAAATTCTCAAAAGCAGGACCCTGGTTGAAAGAATGACTTAACGT